GCATTACATAGTGTGAAGGCACAAAACTGGTTTTGGTGTCTATTTCGTATTGCATTTGTAAGCATGCCAACTATACATAGCATTAGATTTTGTGGACCATGCTTGTCAGACTGACTCAAGCGAATGAATGCTCGCTGGTTGTAAACAACTAATTTCTCGCGGCTACTACTCTTTTCACAATGCAGCCTTGCAGGGCACTTAAAAGACAAAACTTACAGCTCTGAAGTCGCAAAACATTAATGGCAATTTTCTGTCTAAGTCGACGCAATTACCCACGGTTTTACTGTAACGCAGGCACTCGAAATTATAGAATCTTGTTATCTTCCAAGTGATTTTTTTGGTGAGTTTACCTTCCCAGCTCCAAGTAAGTGCAGTTGATGAGCAAAAAAAAAAAGCAATAAGCCAGTGCTTACTTTTGCATACCGCCCTTGGTAGTCCTTTTTCTGACGCCTGAACGTCATGATGCCACGGAAGAGGCTGGAACAAAGTTGCATTGAGGCCTATGCAAGCAAAAATACCTGATCTATTCTGTCTCTTGAACTAGTCCTTGCAAAAGGTCTGTGCGATATGTATCAGTTAAACTGTACAAACGCGGGCTAATGAGAGCCACCATAACCCCCAAAGCGACTACGGAATCGATTGTGCACAAGCTGGAGAAATAATTTTAGCCTGGAAAAAGGCACATCTCGAGGAAAATGTCACTGGGAGCCAAACCCTTGCCCGTTTACCAGGGCATTCAATACCGGTCGGTGTCATCCTACGGTTATGTTTTAAAGTTTTGTTTAAAAAAACACCCATTAATCTATTTTAATTAATGTAGATGTTTAGCATCTATAGAGGTACAAGTTAACAGGAGGTTTTTGCATTTGGCCCAGTTTTTTTTAATTACGTAATTAGGAACATTGGATCCCCAGTGTGTCAAATCTGCTCTACGCAAGTTAACAATTGCCACAGGAATATTACAGAAGTACCCTAGTGCATTACGATGTGTGGTAATCTACCATACGAATTCCTATGATATTCCTGTCATACTTGTAATTCCTGTGGTAATTTCTGTGGGATTAAACAGTTTGCACAAGAATACTACAGAGGTGGCACAGGACATTTTTGTAAGGGTTGCGGTTTGTTCTCTCGCCTCAAATGTAACTTTGGATTTTGTTTCCAAACAAGGTATTGTGCAATTCAAAGGCAAATTTGTGGCACTATTTTCAGGGCAGGTATTATTAGATTTACAGAAAAAGAACCAATGAATATGTTTTTCTGCAGGGCACTCAACAAACCACGCATGGGCGGTCTACATCTCACTTTATCCGCTAATCAAAAAAAAAAAAACAAAAACAAACAGTGATACAAAAGTTAAAAGTGGCTGATGCAAGAACTAGTATTTCAAATTATCCGATTCCTTTAATGTTCCTCTTACAACAGATGATTAATATGGAACAATAGTCTCGGGAGATGACCCACTTTATTTCCGTCTTGACCCGATCATGCCATTCCAATGGACAAGGGAATCACTGAGTTCATGGCTTAAGCACACGTCTTTCCAGTGTTCCTGTAGCCAATTTGGCCAACTGGTAAATAAATATAAGCTAATTGCATGGCGATAAAAAGGATATTTTGGTGATCCTTCCATGAATGCTATCTATTTTATTTTGTTTCATTTCAATGCATGTATATTAATTAAAACTGTTGACACAGTAAGAAATTCAAGGCTCAAGATATTACCTTCTAGTATGTATCAGCTAGCTGCACCACCAAGTGATGACATGAATGATATAAACGATGACTTTGGTGCGCCAAAAGTGACGTATTGTCTAGACTTGGTTTACACAATACGTCAGTTTGTGATGCAAATGACAGAATGCATGTATAAGGTTGTTTGGAATTTACAGAGGACCTTGTTGTAGCAGACCTTGTATTATTGGACAACATAGCAAAGGTGAAAGGAAACCTCACACCAACCAAAGGTGAAAGGTGTACATGTACACCCCACTTAAATTTGACTTGGTGACTGAATTGAAAGGTTGATGTTGCTGTGTTGCACCGTAGAAAACATTTCGAAGTGCTGTGTAGCATTCAATGCTGGTTGGCCAGGAGCCACGTTCTCTGGAAAAACTCAAAGAGAAATTGTCAACCTTGGATTAGTGGGAGAGGATCCTGCGAGAACAGCTGGCACCAGACACGTCGGGGAGCATTTGAAGCAAGATATGGAGAGAACCCCCCCCCCGCCTTTGTGTTGGTCATTGTTTGATCGGGATCTCAGAAATTTACATACTGCTAGGGGATGTATTAGGCAACAAAAGTCTGGAATGTGTATAGAGATTGGACAAGTAAGGGGGTACCCCTTCGTCCCATATCATGCCTGGTATATCAAGGAGGAATCTGTAGCTAGTGGTTGGTGGCAGTCACAGAATGGTGATGGCACGCGTCCTGCACATGTAGTTGGCTGTAAGGATCGTGTCTCTCTTGAACAACTGGCAGATAACAAACAGTCAAGGGTTGGTGGAGAAGTGCCTCATGGGTGAAATGCATTCAAGCTCCACTGGAACTAGTATAACATTAACGACGGGTGAAATAGAACTCATTCAGAAGCCCTGAAAGTACAGGGCTATCATGACATGCAAGCCGCAATTCTTTGAACAACAAATGATTGCTTTGCCGCTAGTCTTCTTTACTTCTTGTCAACTTCACAAAACCACATAAACCACTAAACCACTCTCGCAAAAGTGATAGTTAATTTCCAATCCTGATCACAGCCATATTTTAAAATGGCTTCCCTCAACTACTTTCCAGCAGGGTTGTAGTCGAGACAGGTTAAGAGTTAGCACCACCCCCTGCCCCCCACACACAATTATTCTGCAGTTGAAAGCGAATTGTTTTTCTTGTTATGACAAAAAAATGTATTTACATCAATGATATAGGGAGGCAAATGCCGCCCGGCTTTGCCACCCTTGGATTTGTTACAGCTAGTACTGTCGAATCATCAATAAATGGACGTTGTCGCACATTAATGGAATTGACATTCCAGATGAAATAAAGTGGAAAAACAACATCAGTCTTTTACTTCAATTGTTTTAAACCTAGAAAATTGTCTTCTGGACTGTGCACTCTGTGCCATGAAAAAAAAAATTGATGAAGGAAAAAGCAAAAAGTTATTCGGTGCTGACCAGGCATTCAGGTGCAGAGGTTCCTAAAATTCAAAGGGAATCGCAGTTATAGTTACTGGCTTCCATATATGATATACATGATATAATATTACACTATTCTAGGATCTCTAAGTTCTCAGACCACCACGCTTCCTCGCTGCCCATTCATTCAACCCCTCAAATGGGGGCAGGGGCGTCCTTGGCCCCTTCGTGGCGACGAGCACGCTGCTCCACTCCCAAAGGAAACAAGTAAGACAATTGCACAGAGAAAGGAAAGCGACGTGTTAATAGCCATTGCGGGAACAATATCTTACTGCAGTAGCTCTACGTAACGCCCTCAACAGTCTACATTGATCCTTCAAATCACTGTAATTGAATGCGGTGTGTGTGCACTACTCGTATCGACTGTGTCGATACCATGGAGGGGGGAAATGCCAGCCATACCATACGCACATCAACTTCCTCAGTCTCTTCCTGGAGAGTTCAACAGGTCAGGTCATTGCAAGTGTGTGGTGCGGAACCGAATGCCATTTAAATTAATGCGGTAGTTTTATTTCAACTTGGACTAAATATTTCGTTGTCTTAGACATTAAATCATTGTTTAAAAAATCAAATTAAAACAAAAAGTTCATTGATGGCGTTGCTGGCGTCATATCTGTCAAATGACCCACCTACAACTCGATGCCATCGCTCATTGCTAATTCAGTAATTAATACATGCATTGCTGTGACAGGATTACTTCACTAAGACTGAAAATATCAAACGAGTCTGTGGAAGCAGCTAGCAACAGCCTCCCGTTGCTGCATTCACTTAGTTTTGAATAGCATAAAAGCTCATTTATAATTATGAAACTCTCTTTAATGGCATTCAAAACAAGACTAACAAAGACTTAAAGTTCAGAGTGAGTGTACCGTTACTAAGACACTAAGTGTTTATCACATGTTTGCAAACACAAGTGTCACATCAATTCGTGGACTGGAATCGTCGAACTGTTGTCTGTTTTTCCTTAACCAAGTTGCAGCCGTGACGACATTACATAGCTACGAAGAAAAACAACTTGCACGTCTTTGGAAGCAGTTAGCTACTGGCTTATTTTATTTCCCATTCGATGCTTGTGCTACATACAATAGCCGTTTAAAAGTCTTTTTTGTGAGTGAAACGTTTATTGAATTTACAGAAAACAAACAAAATCAAATCTGAAAATAATAACTAAAAAAAAAAAATAACTGAATGCACTGTTCTCTACAGCACTCAACGAGCCACAAATCTGGGTGGTCTTCATTATACTTTATCCACCGATCCAAAGTAATCACTAAAACAAGTTGGTGATCCAAGAGAGTTCTTCATGGCTGATTTTACCACTTCTGGCCATTTAAAACATAATATTCTCTATATTATCTGCCTCATTGTCATTTCAACAATGTCGGTGATCAAAGTTTCATTTGTGTCTGTACCCACACTGTTTATGTCAACATCGCATTAACATACCTCATCAGTATGTGTTGAGTCGGTGATGTTTGTGAGTGACAACGGCCATGGGCCAATCACAACCCAGGCCACTGGTCATTTCACTGTATCGGTGATCAAAGTTTAAATTGTACCTCTTTGCCCAATGCGTATGCCAAGCGCGTGAATTATCTCAGTAGTAGAAAGTGGACGTGTGATATGTGTGGGTAACAGTGTGCATGGGCCAATCACAAAGCAGGCCAAGCTCACCAGTCACTGCTCAGGAAATGGCTGGCCAGTTTAGAGGCACGAGCGGCCGCGTTGCTCCTCAGAACGACCAAGTCTATGTTCAGATCTGAACGGTTGCCTGATAGAAAGAGAGCAGACCGATATCACCATTCCAAGGTGAGTGTTTAATAATACAACTGCGTTCAAATTATCCCTTTCCTTTATTATTTCCCCTACAATAGTGTGAAGATAATCTCTTGGATGACATTGGTGGAGAATTGAAATCACTGTGTGGTTGCAATTCTGGAGGAGATAATACCAACCTGCCCACCGAAACCCTGAGCAAGAGCAGAACGTTTCCAAATATTATTCGCTCAGAACTGCGTTACGTATAGCACAGATTTCACTTAAATTAATATCTTCATTTACTGCCGTCAACCTAATCGTTATCACTTCTGTAAGATCAAATATTCATCCTGCTACTTTGCAAAGGTGGAGTAATCACGTTAGCGCTAATTTCATTGGAAATGTTCCAAGGCATGAGATTTTTGTCTGCTGAATTTTGAAGCAGATCACATTTCCTCTTGTGCGGGGTTGCCTTCAAAACACACACACATCTTCACTTGCTAAATTCATTTTCATAGTCGATTTGTGAGCGATGCAATGGAAATCTGCTAATGCCGATTATTAGGACCACTGGGCATTTGAAGGAGCTCCGGTCAATTTGATCCTTTTGTAACTGTGGACTATTTCTCTTTGCATTTTGGTTTCCTTGAGCCAAATCAATCATTACTGTCTTGCTACAGTTTTCCAAGAGACTTTGTCAAGGGCAAACTGGTTTGACTGGAAATATGAAATTCAAAATGTCCTGTGTCACCTGACAAGACGTAATGTGGCCTTTTCAAAACCGAAACCATCTCTAGCTTGTGTACAATTGTGTTTTAATTTTATTGAAGCTAATACTGATGTTGGAAGTACAAGTTGAATAACAGAGGGTGTATCAACCTCCAGAAACGTCCCTTCAATTTTAGATAAAAAAATCCTTACCTCTTCCTTACTGTCTTGACTTATTAGGCGTCAATTTACTATTAGTCATTAAACTATCATTCATGATGAAATGATCCTGGATCCAATTTCTATTTTCATTTTGCCGGTCGGTTTCATGACAAAACTTTCAAAAGATAAACGTGTTTCTGTACATTGCATGTTTGTAATTATTCAGCAAGATTAACTTTAACTGCACAAACTCTCTTCATATTTGACTTTTAATTTCAGCTCATAAAGTCTTCGTTTTTTACTTTGTTTATGACTTCAAGAGATTAAATTAACAGATATATGAGGATGAGCTCTCCTCTCAGTTTTCCTGTTCAGAAAAACCTCATACTATTACTGAACAAAATGCAATTTTGTTTAATATGACATAGACTGCAATTTTTATTCCTCTGACTTGCTTTATGATTCGATGAATTACTTTTTTGCAAGCCAATACTCTACAAAGGTGCCGTTTCCAAGGTTAAAATGAACAAAAAATCTAATTCACTACGCAAAATCCTTGGACTACTGGGCGATCCAAGTATGCGTACAACGTTTTCACAGGGAATGAATACACATGGCATATGCCTTTTTTCCATTTGAAAATAGCATTTTCCACAGCCAGCAATAATCATTGTCACATTTTCTCCTCGACAATTTAAACAATTGTTGAAAAAAAAAATCATTGAGAAATGTCCTTCGTACAGTTGACTTTTGTCGGTGATGAAACAGGTTGATTTCTGTATCCCATGCATGTGCTTGAGCGATTCTCCTTCACTTTCGCGTCCGCTCACTTGTCAATCAAATGTGACGTTACACTCCCCTGTAGCACCTCTCTCAGACCTACATAGCATTTTGCAACCTACTTCAATCATCATTCGGTCAAAAAACGCTTTAAGATTAACAATAAAATTCACATCAAAACACTACGATGTGCTAGCGTGTCCACGTCACGCTGTTTCGGCACGGAAAAGCGGTTGTGCGCATGCGCAAGATTTTTGCCATTTAAGTGCGACCTCTGGTGGTAAAAAGTACTATGAATATTAATGAGCTGAAAGGGTCACCTTAATTAAATCCTTTTTGAGAGGCACTGTGCTAATGAATATTTATAGAATACGGCTTATTAAAAAAACACACACAAAGTTTGCCTTTAAAATGTCAGTACGTTCGGCCATGTTGGTTGCCGGATACGCGTGAGAAGAGTGTCTAAAAGTTAACGTATGTTTGTGATTGATCAACGATTACGGTATTTTTGACCGTTGTTAAAGTCTCCAAAGCATTGTTCCTAGGGTTTTGCAAGTCTGGGCTTGACATCCAGCGTAAAGAATGGACCTTTTGCAATCTATTTGCGCTCTGTGAACTGTGCAAACTGAACGGTACGCGTTTGCAAGGCATTACACGACACGCTGATTTGTGCATTGATGCAGTACATCTTAGAGGAATATCCACGAGAGCTCTACGTGCGTGATGGTTTCATGGGCGCCCTCACCGTGAAGCACATGCCGTCAGGTACGTATCTTCCCAATAGCATTGTTTTTAACAAGTTTGACAAAGACATACATATACAGGACAAATAAGCCTGTGTGTTTACTACATTGCACAAAACATGTATGTTCATCTATAAATATGTTGGTTTTTGGTTTATAGATTTTGTTATTATTATTTGCAAACCGTGCTTACAACATAGCTAAGGCTATGCATGCCTGTACATATCAAAAGTTACTGCATGGTTTAGAATATCTCTTAATATCTTCTCATCAACAGGTGCTGAACTTTGTGGATTACTGCAGTCACGGCGTTCTGCATATTTGAGCCAACTGCTTTGGTTGCATTTATTGCACTTGACCCTCCCATTCATGAGGACATTCACAAAGTAGTGCTTGGCAGGTTGAATATGCAGAAGGCTGATTTGTTTCTTACACACTGGGCAAAGAACTGTTGAAGATGACGATTTGGAAAACAGCTCTTCTAGGCATTCAAAACAAACAATGTGCTCACACTGTGTTTCGGTAGGTCTGTTGAAGATTTTGCAGCAGTACTTGTAAATGAAAGAACTATCATCTGACTAAAAGTCCTGCCCCATTGTCGGAGTCGTTGTTTACGTAAGCCACTCAAAGTTCCTGTGCGCAGTGGCCTTGGCTTTCTCCTCATCCCTGTCAAGAGTCATAAGACGAGCATGTTTCCCTTTCAAAGGACGACCACCTCCTTTGGAAATGTTCATCTTGTCACAAATAAAGCAGGGGCCTGTTGGAGGGTGGGTGGCAATCATTTGGCACAGGATGTGTCTTTGTAAGATAAAGATTTGAACTGCAAAGATGGCACATGAAGGGAGGGTGGCAATGTCGATCATTGGTTTCTACATTGATTTTATACTTTGCCTGTATCTTCCCTTGATTTTCTGAGCAAGGCTTATATTGCATGTTATGGATTTTCAATGGATTTACTCTCTCTGCACATATTTTGCATAATTTCTGGAGATTGTGTGTGTGATCCAAAATCAAAGAGCCACTTTCCAATAGTCTGTCAATTAAAAATAATAAATTTACATGCTTGTATCCTTGATATTTTTGTCAAGAGTAGCTTTGCTCTTTCCTTTTTGATTGGTATGTAGTTCCAGAACTATTTTTTATTTAAGGTATTAAAAAGTGACAAATTAAAACAAACGGTTTCAGCGTAAGAAAACAATTTCAAGTTTTCTTTCAAGGCCTTTCAAGTAAAAGTGATCCACATGTTATTTAGGTTTTGAAAGTACATGTACATGTACCTAATCGTGAATATTCAGTATTATCATGACTTTTAGGCAGTGTTTACAAAATGGGTCAAGATTCATTAATTATGCAACTGTATTCGTCAAAAAAACTGACGCATGCGCACAACTGGTGTTCCCCGTTTAACACAGACGGAAACAGCGTTGATATAGCACTCAGGCTACTTGACTTCAAACTGTCGCTATATGCTCAGCAATCAACACACATCTAAATTCAATTCTAGTGTCCACTTATGCTTAACTCTCATTTGATACTTTCAAGCAAGAAATAAATCACTGGTTTTGCTGTATCACGAAGGTGTCATATGTGTGAGGCGACTTCTACATATGGGCTAGAAAGGATGACGGTGTCTTCAATGATGGCAAAGTTACTGGGATGGCATATATGACGGTTTTCAAAGGTGTGACGGAATCCACATGACAATATTTGATAGTTGACGTCTAACGGTTGATGGTTAATGGTGTCTGAATGATGGTTTGACTGAAAAATACAAAATAAATAATTATGTAGACAAAACTTATATATGCCACTGACACAAATTCTAGTCACAAACGTCTAGACCTCCAGTTAAATGCACATTAGCATCCACTGCCTAATGACAACACATGTGCGACATCAAATTATACATGTGTAACATGAATACACTGTACATGAATCATGGCTCCCCAAAACTTGGACATATTCATATAAAAATGCCACTACTTATAAGCCGCGAAAAATAACCAAAAAATGTGTCTTATTGCCTTTATCCTAAGGCAATAACTAAATGATAAACTAATGAAGAAAACACTCACTTTGCTGAGCTGACAGATTTTACTAAGTGGGCTGGATTGGCAACGCAGTGTGGAATAAGCGCCCTCTATTGATAAGACATTAAACTACGGTGTTCCCGAAAGGACTTGTAAGGAGGATGTTTTGTCCGCAACAGTTGACGTGAATAGTCACAAATCACATATTTTGTTCGTTCTACCCTACGCTGTACATGACCTAATCCAGTTCCAGTGACTTCTCGTAACTACCCCTGATGCTACTTTTAGAGAGGGTTTCACTAATGGAGTCATGCGGGCAGTCCATGAAACAGAACGGGGCCAAACCTAACTCTTATATGTTTGTGCACCAAGTGATGTTCCTATATGCTTGTACACAAACTCCTATACTGCCACGCGTCTGCTACATGTTTGTGAAGAAAATACCCACTCCCTCTTGTAAAGTGGACCAGGCCACTTGATCACTGCTTCTTGGACAACATCCTACCTTGGAGGTGAAATTGACATCATTTACTTCGAAGTAAGGACACCAAAACAAACATACTTAATTGTACACAAAAGCCTGGGCTATGGCATTGTTTTCATCCCGAAAGGATATGGAAGAAATGTTGCTAAAACAAGTTATTTTTATTTAAGAAACGTGCAATCGTTCCACAATTATGAAGGATTGACGAGTTTTAGCATGTATCATGTCTCTGTTAAATGTCATCGTCAGTATTTGACTCATTCATTTTTTAGCTGTCTTTAATCTGTCAGATCTGTTTATTCATTTTCTAGCTGTCATTAAGCTGTTAGATCTGTTTACATTCAACAGACTAAGGAGAGGATTCTAAAAGATTCAAAAGAGACACTTATCACATTTTGGAAATAAACTTCTAATGATTTTCAGTTACAACAAATCCATATGGACGATTGAGTTTACACTTAATCTTTATAGTAATCAGGAGCATGTGTTTATCAATTCCATATTTTATCCAAATCAAATGTGACACACATTTTCTCAAATATTGCCAGATTTTACCGTTCATAAGCCAAGGATTAAAATGAAGGATTTTTCAGTAATTTTGTGGTTATTTTACAAGTATTTTCTTGACAATCACAAGTACAATTCGAGCGAGACACCCATATTTCAAGGACACGCTAGCCAGAACAGTACACTGTGCTCAACCCATGCAGCTTGACAAGCGTATTGCTGTCAACTTAAAATAACCATAACGACAAACTTACAGGTCCAATCGAAGATGTTTCTGTACGCACATGTCAAGTCCATAACACAAATCGTGGATGGGTAAGGAAAGTTCACACGAAGTGTGGAATCCACCAGCCTTGCTGTTAAAATGAGTGGCTTGGTGGGTGTAACCAGCGTTAATGTTGGTAATGTGATGTTAATGATGACCCCTGCGTGTGGATGCTGTCCAATTTCCACTGGATTCTCAAGTCAACATTTCTTCACTTGATAAAAGTTTTCAACCTACAGAAAGGTATACATCAAAAGATGGTAGCACCTTCTGAAACTATGTTATTACAGTTTTAATGGGATTGCAGAACATTGGGAATTATGTTTTTTTCATTCGTGTGTTGTTTCTAATTTAGTTCAAGCGGCTCTGGTCTGTTGCATCCTGATAGAAGGGTTACTAAATTGTTATCTCTCTCTGGATTCCCATTTCCTAGACTAATCTGTGTTATGTATTTCTATTGAAAGATTTGTTTTAGCTATTAAGCTTGGTATTCACAGATATTTTTAGTATCGCAAAATTATGTGTCTTTGTCTATCTTTTGCTTTTCATATTTTTCTAACCTACCTAGGCCTTTTCATTCCCCCAATTTCTCACAGATGCATCTCTGTTTTGCCATCACCTTATCGTTTGTCATTCTTCTACGTAACTCCATCACGCTCCGAGCTACTGTCACTGGGCCAGCTCCTGCGGACAGCGATGGTCTTGGGTCTCAGGTATGTCCAATGTGCTGCCAGGGAATTGCCGGGACACCAGGAATTCCGGGCCTACCAGGAAATCAGGGTCAGTATGGACCAGCAGGGGTAAAGGGCAATACTGGAGTCAAGGGTCAGAAGGGTGAGATTGGTCCAATTGGCGCTGTTGGGAGCCCTGGCCGCAAAGGGGACGACGGAATCGGCCTGCCCGGTAAGGTAGGTCCCAGAGGTCCACCTGGTCTAGTTGGAACCACCGGGGAAGCCGGGGTCAAAGGTCAAAAGGGAGATCCAGGAGAGACTCCAGATAATTCTGCCCGCTTGGTAGCATTCACTGTGATGCGGACAAGCGACTCAGATACCTCCACGAACGCTGAGACCCGTTTGCCCTTCGAGCAGACGATGACGCTACTTCAGGGTACCGACTTTGATCTTGCAACGGGTACATTCACATGTACTGTGCCGGGCACATACGTGTTCACGTTCTCCGTATGCAAGTATTACAGGAACAGTCTGTACGTTCACCTTAGAAGAAATAACGATTGGGTTGTCTCTGGCCGTAGCACTGACTCCGGTTCCAATGAGCAGGTGTCTGGAAGCGCCGTGCTTGTTCTGAACCGAGGAGACTCAGTGTATTTGACCATGGCTGGTAAGGTGTACGGTACCTCAACGTATCATTACACCTCATTTAGCGGCTTTCTCCTTAACGCTAAATAAACAGCAGCCGCGCAATAATGTTCTAAATTCCGTGTCGTACTTTTTTTTCTGATATAGGTTGTGTGTATTTATGGTTATTTGATTTGTTTGTGAAGTACAGAAAAATTATGTCTCCATAGATTCTGCCTCCTTTTGTATTTTGTAGCCGTTTTAATTCTCCAACAGCACGAAAAATAAAGAAAAATCCAGATTCACTGGTAGCAAAGTGATATTTTTGATGGAGTATGGGCCTACCTTTCTTGCCATCTGCATTTTAATGTATAAAAAATGTTCTCTAAAAGCCCTTTCAAAAATGTGAATGACAAAAGTTCATTTTGGCCATGCAGCAAGACATCAATTTATACACAATCATCGTTGCTGTAGAGAAAAAAAATATGATTAATCATCATTATTTAAATCGTGACGCAAAGCAGATGTTCTCAAGGAGTATAAACGGCGATTTTTATTTATAGAAAGTGGTCATTGCTCTGCTCAAAATTATTTAACCAAGTTGCGTTTTTTGCCATCACTATCAAAATTAAGAAATTTCGGAGACACACAATTAACCTGCATTCAATTGAAATTGCAACCATTGTGGATGTTATCAGAATAATGAATTTGCATCACACCTTCCTTTTTGAGTAAATCTTAAAAACTGAAATTATTACCTGCGACAGGAATTTCACGGGGTACCATGCGGGTAATGTTGAAAATATCTACGTCATTATATGTTATCCTGAATTTTAGTGGATCAATACTTCTTCACAATAAAGTTCGCTTTACGCTTAATTAACAGTTGATCGTCTTTTTCGGTTATCGTGTACTCTGCAATGTGGAATTACAAGGCTGTATAGACGTATCATTTCATGAGAGGTCCCCAAAACATGTTAAGACCCAGGAGGGTGAAATGACGATATGAACGACAAAAAAAAAAAAAAAAAAACATTGAAATAAGGCGCTTTTAATGCACTGTAGCCTGACACCTTCAGTATAGTAATTGTTTATATTCCCTGTTTGAAAGGATACAATGATGTTTACTACCAGTGGAAACAATACCTGATAAAGTAAAGGGCTTCAAATTGGATATATTCCTGTGGATTGTTTTCACTTCCCAGGGCAAGTGAAATCTCAAAGTATTTTTTTTCAAATGCAGAGTTGTAGACGTTGGACACATCCATGTGTTTATGGGACGCATGACTTGACTTGTAACTTCACTTGCACATCATGACTTCTTACTAAGCCCAGGTCCAAAAACTACTCATTTCAATCCATTTAAGTTTTGAATTAGGCATATAAATTAACTTACGCCTTCAGTTCTAAATATTAACCAGTGTAAGATTACCGTTGCCGCACTATTATTATTTTGGTCTGGCCTGTCTGAGGCCACGTGTGAATCATTTGGCTGCGGCCTGGGATCATGCAGTACTATTGACTCATTCTATGGCCGCAGCAAACCACTATAATAGACTTGCGTAGTTTGAGATCGTAATCAAGTCAATTCCTGGAAAACCGCTCAATGTAATGCTTTGTCGTACTTGACAAGGACCATCTCATGAGCAGAAACGTAGCCCTTTTCAAACTGCTGGCAGTTATGCAGTCATGTTAGTAACCTGACTGGATAATAACAGTGGTTGGTCTTTTGGCATCACTTAGCAGTTGTTAAAACCTTTCTGTGTACCAAGTCTTAAACTGAAGCAAGAACAGATTTACCTATTACGGCTGCATAAATAATGCAAGAGCTTGTAACCTTTGTTTATTCAGCAAAGTCTTTTCGCGCCTAAGCAGATTTTTCGCTTAAGCAGCTCTATGAAATTGGCACCAAATGTAGTTCCAAACTACCTCGCGAATCCATGTTGACCAGACCGTGTTTAGCTTATGTATCAAAATCGTCATTTATGACGTCATCGTGAGGTCATTTCCTAACATCCCATAAGTTAACTTTGGCTATTCAGTGTATTGCACATGGAATTTAAACCAACATGTTTTGTTGTGATCAGAATTAAATAATGTTAGAAATGAGATTTTGTTAATTAAATAAAAACATATAAGAGACGAAACTTTGAACTGTGGTTGTGGATTTGACTTTGTGCTTCTTGACTTGGGAAAAATGGTTATTCGAACTTTTGTACATGACGGTGAATCCAAACAATACATATGTGTGTTTTGAGCATTTTAACACTTTTTTGAACAATTCAGTTAAAATGAAACGTGGAATTGACGTAAATGTTTTTATTAAACACAATGGAGCTCATACTTGTATTTGTATCTTTCAAAAGAAACGTGTTCTACATGTTTGATATTAATCAACCGCCTGTTTTCTTACGACACATATTCTATTTTATCAATACAAGATAAAATGCAAT